AGAAATTGTGTTCCATAAATCACTTCTCTGTTGGTGGGGAGGCCATCTAAGCACGAGTCAAAGTTTGGATGGATTTTACTCTAAACTCCAAAGCCATTTTAAGGTTGAGTTCAGGGCACAGTCTATTAGACGGAGACAAAGTCGTTTTTTGGAAGGAATGGCAGCCTGAATGTCTGCTAGGGCCATAAAGAAACATAAACAAAGGTCTGTCCAAGAGCACACAGCAATCCAGCAAAAGCTCATTCTGATGGAAAGGGTTTGTTCTCTGAATTTATAGCATGCTCCTATTTTTGGAGATGATTCTCCCAAATGATAATGAGCTTTGCATCAATTAGTTTTTAAGGGGATCAAGTTGCAAACAGTGCACCTATCAGTGTCAGGGTGGCACTGCCAGCAGGTGAGATGGGACAGCCCAGCCTGCCTCTGCCTGTAGCTACAGCACTGTTGCAGCTACAGTCTCGGTTCTGCCTGCTCAGCACAGAAATACCACTGCACTGAAGAAGATGCAGAAGTTTCATCTAACGATGGCACTGGTGTGCACAAGTCACACCTGCAAGTGCCTGCAGAACTGCTCTGGCACATGGGTTTCAGGAGCACTGCCTGCTGTCTTCTTGCACCCAGACAAAAAGATTTCAGAAGGAACTGGACACGGAGGTTTTGATTTTCAAGGATCTGTGTAAAATGTTTGTAATATACAGATAATGCCAGATTTCCTACCACAAAAAGGGAGTCACGCTCACTTTAGATGTACATCAATACATTCCGTAACTATTAATGAATTTTCCCTTAATGGCTCCAGAATACCATCTGTGTCTTCTGCGTGGGAACAGCAGTGATGTTGCCTGTTCCTAAGAACGCAGTCTGATAGATGTGATCTTATATACATATTGTGAAGATGTCCCAAAGCTACAGTGACATTCCTTGCTGATATCTCCAATAGTTGGATTACTTCAGTAATCTTTCACTTTTCCCTCTAAGCCCTCCTTCTTCTTTTGTGCCCAGTTTGGAACCATCAAGTACAATTATTCTATTTCTAAGGCCTTCCAGGACTACAGTGAAAGGTGCATTTGTCACTACAAAAATATCTTTGTCCATGAGAACTTTTCATTCCTACTGACAGCAGCTCACGCCATAGCAAAGCTCACAGGAGCCTTGATTAAAAGATCTGACTTACGTAAGTAGAAATGAATGACTTTCAGGCAATTACAGTGGGTTGAAAAGCAGGAGCATGGTGTTTGGAGCTAAACAATTTCACAGATAGTGCCTTAATTAGCAGCAAAAGACATTTAGAAGAGAAATATTATAATACTGATTCAATTGCTACAAATCATTAATAACAATGGCACAGAATAACCAATATCCAGTAACAATGAGATGCAATATCTGTCAGAGGAAAACATATTGCCCCTTTAATAATGAGAACATAATTAGAGTAGAACAATAAAGCATATATTAATATTGAACAAAGGACAAAATACCATGGTATTACACTATACTGGAAAAAAGAATCCTATTGCCAAAATCCCAAATGAATCTAAAAATCGAGCTTATAAAAGTAAAGGTATAGAGATTGTTATTATCATCCATAGATTCACCTCCTACAGCAAAGCTGACCTGACTCTTTCCTCTTTCAGCCACCCTACTGGGACAAGGACTGTCTCATGGAGTGCCCTTATACAGACCTTAGGAAGCAGAAGTGGGGGTTGTTGGTCTTCTGTTGAGAAAGCTCTACCTATGGATGCTGCTGATGATAACTATATTGTTAAATATAGACACAGATCCTGAATAGTGTGGTTCTTTTACACCATTCTTGAATCTGTGCAATGCCATGAGAGTGAAAAGCTCCTTTTCCCTTTGTTTGTTTCAGGGTTTTTAGTTTGTTTTACAAAGATTCCACCCCTTGTATGTGGTGAGAGAAGATGGAAAAGGGGAGTTCTGCAGAATTAAAAACAAAGATAAAGTAAAGAAAAAGAATCTACGCACATTATTATTTTAAGGCTCAGGACTATAATCTATCTCATGGAAAAAACATATGTGGCTTGAGATTTTGATCGTGTTTTGAGTTAATAGCACCACAACAAGGAAGAGTACAGGATCTGGATATAATAAGACCATTGAGAGGACTGCATTACAGATGGTACAGAAGTAATAGCTTCAGTCAACAACGGCTCATCTCTATCTCAGACATTTTCATTCTTACACATGGCCCTGCTAGACTAATCCATCCGTATTTTTCCCAAATTACAGATCAGCATGTGACTCAGAGTTGGCTTCCCATGCATACACAGCAAGCAATTTTAGTGGTAATCACAGGAGTTTCTCATCCAGATAGTTATGAAAAAAATGCCACACACCCTAGGAGGTTTATGTTGGTAACGCAGGCATGAGAACCAGAGCCTGGATAAAACTGTATTATCTGAAATGACTCTGCAGATTCAAACTCTATGACAATCTCATTTGCTGCCCCAGACAAGTACCAAGAATAATAATAATAGTTAAAAAAATAAAAAAATAAATTTGTTTACATAAATCTCTCTTTGCTACCAGAGATTGGAGGAGAAAATGAAACAGGTTTTTGAAAACCCCAGTTATAGTGATTGTACGAGCAAGCTTTGCCCTGGAATGCCAAGCAGGTACGAATGCAGTGAATTCCAAGGAGTTTTCAGTGTTAATTTCTGCTCAACAAGAAACACACACACATAAACAGCAATCAATAGTCACTAAATGAAAAAGAAGTAGCAAATCAATAACTAGAGACATTTTATTTTCAAGCTTCTGCAAACAATGGAAGGGATGATCAGCCTGTGATTATGTGGAAGTAGCAGATATGGTTACAGCTCTTAAAAGCTGGTGAGCAAGGCTTCACCCATATCAGCTTGTGCAGATCTGCTGGATGGGAATAGTAAGACACATGGAAATTAGATCAGGGTTTCCATTTCTAAGCTGACTCATTTTCTGTGCTTCCTTCTGTTTTCTGAAAGTTGAATAAATCCTTCCAGTATTTCCTATCCATTTGCTGCACTTTTCTACTAGTGGAAAGTTACAGAATACAACTGGGTTTCTCTTCATTTCAGAAAGAACATTTGCCACTCTGAGCATATTAAAATGTAACCTTCCAAACGCCAGTTGGAACTCATTCCAACTGAGGAATGGGTTTCAACAATAGAAAGTATTTGATTATTATATCCATGATTTGATTACAGTAACTGTATATCAGAGAAAGATGCCACCACTTCAACTCCGAAATGGGGAATCTCAAAATCCAGCTCTGGGGTTTTAGCAGAGCATTCCTTAATAAAGTGCCCTGCCCAAATAATGAACCTCAGCAAAAGAATGTCTTAAATGCTAGCTTAATGGTGAGATTGTTACAGAAGTAAGAGGCCAGCAACCCACTGTCCCCTTCCTCCTAAAGGTCTCTAGGTTTGAACAAAGTCAATGGATGACGCTAATGCCAGGAAGAAGTCCTGGGCAATATGGGAGAATACAACATATCCACAATTGCAGTTGGTTTTGTGCTTATATGAGCTGATATGGAGTTTCAGAAGTAAAATTCACACCTTCACCTCTGAAATAGATAGTAAGATTCATATTATATATAGAAACTATATTCATTTGCTCTTGAAAACATTGATGTGTCTCTAACTTAAGTCAACTGTTACAGTGATATATTATCATGCCAGTTTAAGGTGCTTTTTTTTTTTCTTCACTTAAATTTTCTATTGCTCGTGAAGACAGTGCTTAAAATATTTTAAGTGCTTAATTACCTGCTAACTTCTTGGCAGTGAAAAAAAGAAGTATTTCTAAAGTACCAGTATGAAGTTAATGAGCCTTTCATAAGAAGAGATGAAATGACTTAGTATAAAACAGAAAGAAAATGTGTAAAATTCACAGTATAGAAAAATAACATTTCTTTTTAATGTAAAGTAACTAATTGAGGAGATTAGGAAGCAGTAATTATTTAAACCCCTATAAAAATCTGTTAGTCCTTCCAGGCTATAGGAAAAACTTCTGTACTGGAGCTACACAGAAAACATAAGCCTCCAGTAATGACTTCCATGAATTCTAGCACGCTCCACTTAACTTCAGGAACTGTAAATAACATCTTTCTGACAGCTAAATCAATGCAACCTAAAATTTGAAAGTGTATTGACCCTCAAAGAAGCATCTGAGCTCTAACCTCTTTTTCACCATACATCTGTGCACTTGAGGGAATTCAAGAAAGACATTTTTTCTTGGAAAGGAAATGCAGTAAGGAAGGTGCTTCTATAACGTGAGTGTAGCCCATGTTATGTAACATTAGATGACATCATTCCTCGTATCCATCAAGTCAGTTTGACACAATGCATCATGGTGATACACTTCGTTGCCCATTTAGACAGGCTGCCTGGGAAGAGAGCTTTTGTATTTTTACTGCAAAGCTATGAAAACTGTGTTTAAAATCCAACACAATGGGCGAGGCTTTCAGAAATTCTCAGCCTTGCTCTAATCCTTCCCTTTTCAAAACAAGTGATAAGATTTCCGGTGCAAGCTGTGGAAATGTAAAAATACCAAAGCTGTGTCCTCAGCTCTGCTAGTGTCGGTTGCCATTTCTTTACTGATGTTACCATCACTGCTGCGTCATCATTCCTTTCTACACGTGCTTTGTTATCATGGCAGCTGAAACCACACACGGTTGTGAATATATCTCTCTCTTGGAAGTGAGCAATGAAAGAAATAACTCCATTGTGCATGATAACATCCTCCTGCTCCTGTAGCCAGTAAATGGTAGAGCCAGAAATTGCTCACGGGCTTCCTGAGCACCACCCTTCTTAGTCACAAGAGGATTCATCCTTTACATTGCCTTTTGTTGAAGGAAGACATTCACATTTCTTAGATACTAGCTTATTTTGTCTCCTTTTTGCCCTCAAGTTAGTAACAGTTTGCAGTTCTGATAAGAGACAGGAAATGGAAATAATAACATTGTTCTTTCTCATTCCTAAAATTAAAGACCAGCTCTGTGTAAGCCCTTCTAGAAATGAACAGAGGCAGAGCAGCTCACTCTCCACAAATCACCTGCTCTCCAGCTTAAGGCAATATTTACGGTAAGATTTTCTAAATGCTATGTCTGCAAAACCAGGCGATGGATTAGAAAAATAACTTATTTTCCCTTCCTATCTGTCATGTTTTCACTTATTTTCCCTTCCTATCTGTCATGTTTTCCCTTTATCTTGCACGTTTTTATATCTTTTTTTTTTTTTTTAAGAGTCTATTTTTTTTTTCTACTAGTTCAAAGAGTAGTATGTCCTAGTTATGCATCAGAATCTCAGAATACTGGATTTCAGTTGGGACAATGCTAGCAAGGGAAGAACTAAGTCACCTTCCTCAGGCTCTCCATCTGTCTGTCACCCTCTCAGGCTCTGCAGTTCCAGGGCCATTAGGTGCTCTCATTTTCTGGCTTAGTTCTAATGGAGTATGTTTACTGTTCACTGCGATCAGGAAACAAGTTGAACCAAATGGCATCCCATAAAATGGAAATAAAGGTTTTTCTTTAAATGTCACTTTTCACTCCCTTGAGAAGGTCACTGCATTACCAGACATAATCTCTTGCCAGATGCTTGGAAGTCATTTACAGAAACACAGCTTTCAGGGTCACTGCTTGCCAAAGTCATCAGAACTTCCATGTTGTCCAAGGGAGACCTAATTATTATCTTTCTCTGACTCATCAGTGGGTCTCTGAAAGCCTCGGGTTGTTCAGAAACGCCCTAACATTTTGGGCTAAACTAGTTCTTCTCCACAGTTTGCTGTTAGAAATAGCAAAGATGTCACTTGTCTTAAAATATATGGTCTGCTGTTCCATTCCTAAAGGTGCTGTTATGCTAACAATAAATCTGCAAGAGACTGCAGGCAGAGCGTGGGATGTGATGTATTCAATATTCATCATGCTGTGACCCAAAGGAGCGTCAGGACACTTTACATCAGGAAATTTCTCTCTCTCTAATTTAGCAGTTTCAAAATGATGGGCCAAAACACAGCCCAGGAGGTTGCAGTTGCATCTTCAATTGAATTTTGTCTAAGAAGCCAACAGACTGTAAAAACATAATTACTCCTTCATTTCCAAAATAAAAGTTCAGAATAACTGGTGGGCTTTTCATACTTACATTGTCCACAGCTATTTTTAAGTGCCTGACACTTTCTGTTTTCTTCATCTTTAACCTTGGAAAATCTACTTGCTTCCATGATGGAGTCAAGATGACTAGCAGACCAAGGGACGATTGCAAAGCACTCCAGCTGACGTGTGTGCTTTTCAAACACAGAAGCCACAAGAAATCAGAGAAAAGAGGAACCACAGCAGCTCTTGGGAATGGGAAATGCAAGCAAATTTTGTAAAAGCAGTCCAGGAAGAAGAGAGAAACTGCAGAAATAATTATAAGATAGCTCTCCTCCTCTTCCTGAACAGTTAAGAGCCACAGAGAAGTGCAGGAAGGAAGCAGGGAAGCTGAGATAGTTGCAGTGAAATTGGTGCCAAAGTGGGACTGTACATGTGGTGCTGTGAAGAAAGCTACTATCAGACTTGTTTATTTGCCCAGTATCATGTATTCAGATCATCCTGGGAAAACCAAATAGCACCTGTTTCTATTCAATTATTTTCTTTCTTGAAAGCTTAGGCCACTCTTCTGTTCAGATCAACCTCTCAAAATTCTGTCTACATCTTTAATACATAAAGTGAGCGCTCTTGCTTAGCACGTTAGTATCAAGCAATGTTTAAATTTCAGCAACGGTGTATGGAGATGGCTGTCATACGTCCATTCAGCAAACACACAGAATTAAAAGCAATGATCTCTGTGTTTATCTTCTGCACCCTTCTTGCTTCTGGTCCTTCACTTAGATCAGATTATCTCATTTAAATTGCAATGGGTTGTGAAAAAAGTGTAACCTGTTCCCTCACTGTGTCACTGGGCATGCATACATTGTTTTATTTTATCCCTTAAGACACTTGCAAGAAAACCCCAAGATCCTTGTTGAGTCAAATAATAAAGCACTGCTGCAAAACGAAAGTTGGAAGGAATATTACTCTTTCTACAAGCTTTCCAAAGATTTGAGAAATATAAGAGTAATTTGATTTCTGAGTAGCTGAACTGCCATTTTGGGGGCTAATAATATCTAGCTTTACTGTGCAGCGAATGTAATCCTTAGACTTAAAATTCATTTATGGGTCAATTTCATTTTCATTCTACACGTCTGGTATAACTGAGGTAGAGATAAGAAAGAAATGGCTGACCAATGTCATCTAACAACCTGAATTACCTTTCAAGCCCCAGCCCACAAGACTGCTCTCTAGCACTGTGACAAGTTTCAGACTCTCACACTCAGTTCTCTCACTACTGCACTGATGTGAGCCATCCATATAATAAATCAAAGAAGTTTTACCCATAACTGCAACTTTGACTATTACCATCAAGCATATTTCAGAGTGCTGCCTAGTAAAAATCAGCATAAGCCCAGATTAGTAATTTACACTCAGGTACAACTTATCTACCTGAAGTCAGTAGGCACTTTGCAATTCCTTCAGTTGACAGCTAAATCAGGACACAGGTGCCACCATGATCTGCTCCTGGTGCTTAGGAATATAGATCATTTACATTTTTAGCTATTAAGTCTTCAAAAACCTGAACACATTAACGTAAATGAGAGCTCCTAATATCTTCTAGCTCCGTTGGCCCAGGATACTGGTCTCATTAAAAGATGATCCTCTAGCAAGAGAGATGAAGATGACAAAAAGTTTGAAAAATGAAAGCTTTGTGAAAAAAAAAAAAAAAAAAAAAAGCAAAGGGAAAGGTTATATTTGGAAATATAAAACAAGAATATTGAATATCTTGTTCATCACTAAGGTATATTGTGCCTCATCACTGTTTTAAATTTCTGGATCGCCATCTCTTTCACCACTGGTAAAAGCAATCAAGGAATCACAGGGGTGTCCTACACTCTAAAAAAATCACTGTAAGACCTTTAATTAGATGAGAAAAGAAGGAAGCAATCTGTAAGAAGCAGCCAGTAGGGCAGGTAAGCTCTGTGGCAGTGCAGTGAGCTCCCAGTGTAGTTACAATTGCAGGCAATTAAAGGGAAGATTGGGCTCATAAACATGCCGCTATGTTTTCTTCACCATATCTGGGATTAAATGAGTGACTGCTTATTTGAAATCTGCAAATTGTGTATTACGATTAAAATGTTGGCTGTTTGTTACTGGAACAGGCACTTAGTACTGATTTGACAGAATATCAGGCCCTGAGATTTACGTTTTCACCTGGAATCTATTAATAGACAAAATACTGTGCAGTTTAATTTGAATAGTATTTTAAAATACCACTGCAGTCTGCAGTCTGCTTCAGTAGCTTCTTTATTATAAACAGCTGCTGACTCATGCAGTACATAATTAATTTAAGTATCATTTGAGGTTACTTTAACACAATTTCTTCCTAAGTACACGAGTAACATACCAGCTATTTAGAGTTCAATACATTAATTATAGGCAAAAGTCAGTTGTCATGGTTTTTATCACAGACAGTGTGAAAGGTCAGTTCATCCCCAAATTCATTATAACCTCAAAGTTACCAGTTGGACCCTGGTCTCAAATGGGTCTGTAATGAATCATAAGCATTAATTCCACTTATAGGATTTTAAGAAACAGAATTTTCCAGTTACATGTTTCAAATTAGAAGAAAGGTTCAGAAAAACACAAATGAACTCAGAATAAAGAACCTTTGTGGTGAGCAATGGTCATCCAAGAAGAAAAGAACGTTTTGCCTTGCCATACATCAGCAGCAAGTTAGTCACTTAGTTAAGTACAAGATATATTTAAGGAGGAGAATGGGGAAAAGCAGTTCTGCCTCCTCCAACCATACTTTCTTCTCTGAATACCACCTGAGGATAGAGATGATGACCTGGATTTTAGATCACTGACCACAAGGGTTGTGCAAGGGTCTATCACCATGCCAACTGGAGACAAAGAAGGAAGAAATGTCTGCATTTGCTGTAAGCAAGAAGCAAGATTTCCCTTCATTTCTGGCATTTATGTTTTGACAGTCCTTGTGATTCTCACCAGTTTGGGAATTCATCATTCATAAATGAATTTAAATTCATCATTCATAAATGAATTTAAGACACTTTATGAGTGCAGATGAGACATAAAGGTGTATTTTTTTTTTAAGTGTAGACACCAAACTTCCATACACCTCACAATGGTCTTCTGTTCTTTAAATTTGCTGGTTTGGGACCTGATTGTGCTGAGGCTAGGAAATGCCTTTCACATGCACGTTGTTAGCGAAGCGACAATTGCAATTTTTCCTCACTTTAAAAGCTATCACCTGAAGTACACTTTTCTTATGATCTTGAAACATGCTTTCCTGGTTCAAAGGCAGCAACTCGTGTTGCTTAAAATTAAAGGATGTCCTAATGAAAAGCTCCTTAATCACTTGTTCATGCGAATAAGTACTGTTAGTTTTGGTAATTGCTTTGCCTTTCTAGAAGAATTATGATACTGATACAGATTTATCAATCACAAACACAAACAGTAGAACATTTTACCTGTGCTGCAGCTCATGAATGGCAGCAGAATTATTAGTTTCCATAGCAACACCATCTCCACTTTCCAAGGTCAAAAATTCCTCCCATCCAATCAGTGGAAAGTAAAGTGTGTCTTCCTGTGACTACCTTGATATTCTGTAAAAACAGGAAGAGATATTGAGTAATTGAAGTATAGATTCAAAACAAATGCCCCAATTTTCTCTATGTAAAATGATGTTCTACTGCATCATTGAAGACTCAGAAACTAAGATGCAATAAATGATCTAATCAGGATCATCCCAACGTGAAAGTAATCCCAAAATGACACAAAGCTGGAAAGGAGGTTGATGATAATCATATGTAATATCAGAGACTCATTCATCCTCTCCATGTGGCAAAGGGGTGACCTTCTAAAAGCAAGAAAGCAAAATCTGTCCGTGGTCCATTCACCAAGCACAGCTGGGTTAGGAGGAATGGTGTTAACAGGTAAATGGCAGAATGGTAGCTGTGGTATGAAAGGAAAAAGCAATATAATGTTTTACATGCACTACATAAAAACAACAACAAAAAAATCAAATAAAAAAAACATACAACACTTTTTTGTCATAAAGTTTATTCTGCAGAAATGAAACGTGTACCCACAAGGATTTACATAACAATTTGCTTTAATTTCCTTTGACATTTCAGTCAACGTATGATGAATTAAACCAAGAAAAAAACACATGTTTGGCCTTTACTCCCAAAGGGTAAGGTTGTAATTTACTGTTGGGAATCAGTTCATAAAACAGCTGAAACCAGAAGTCACTTAATAAAATGGGTTTACAAAATCATAAAATCATTCTAAACCTTTTAAGTGCTAAAAAATTTCCACTGAGAAATTATCTTTATGAGTCATGCTCATGGAACCATATCCTCTTTCCTCTTGTCTCATTTTTTATACCAGTATGAAAAAAAATAAAATCATGCAGGGTTGCCTTGGAACTTCTGGCTGATGCGAATGAGAAAGATGTTTCTTAGATAATGAAGAAATTCAGCTCTTGTGGAAATCATCCCACTTTTATAAGGAATCTCATTCCGTTCACAGGTTTTTATAAGCTTCACCTAAAAGTCGTAGGTGGTCTCAAAGGAGGCACGGATCAACCTGGTGCACTGTTACCAGTTTCCATTTCAGATGGGGAATGATCAAACCTTGACAAGCTTCTAAGTTATTTGGGGAAAAAAAAAAAAAAAAGATGAAAAAAGCTGTTTCTTTTTAATCTTTCTTTTAATCTTTTGTAAGGTCCTACTTCACACACACCTGGGGTCTACAGAAGCACTTTAGTGTCATTTAAAAGTGTAAATGGCTTGAACTCTTTAAAAAAAAAATAAAATGAAATCCAAGTTTGGATAATTCTACTGAAGTAGAAATGGAGCTGGATGGTACCTATATGTATCAGATAATCCTGCCCCAAGTAACATTAATTGTACCTAAAAAGTCCTCAGCAAATATTTACTACCTTTTAAGACTTAGAGTGATGCAAAGCTTTCCATAATTTCCTTAGAAAACCCTGATAATATTCTGAGTTCAGACATCATTCCTAATTTTAGTTTGAAGTGCCTTTATTTATCTACTCTCAGTAGACATGGATTCCTCTGCATACCTTTGCATGTTTGAAAAGTACGATTCTATCTTGGATGAGAGGATTCCCAATCTGTATACCGTCCATCCTAGTTACAGCACTGCTTTTCATCCTTGTCTCTGCTGGAGCCCTCTGGCACTGCAAGTCCTTTTCTTCCAGCACACTGCCCAGAGCTGTGCTCAGCCCTCAGGCTGAGATGGTGCCAATCTGCTGTTTGCTATTCCCACAGTCCCAAATGAGGATCGCTAGCATTCTATGCTTGCATTCAGTTCAAGCTCCACTCTAACCCCTTCTTTAAACCTCTTGCCTATGCTGAAGGTGCGTATTGATTACTTCTACCTAAGTGTGAAACCTTGTACTTTTCCTTATTGAATTGCATCATATTTTTTTTTTTTCATATGCTTTCTTCTGTTTGTCAATATTTATCTCGAAATTGGTGTACACATCACTGATATTTAAGGCTAGAAAAAAAATCTTATCTTTTTTTCCCTTGTCCTTCCTAAACAGAATGTACTCCTTCCGATCAATACTGCAGACATGGCAATTTAGTTATCTGTTTTTGTCTGCCAGTTATGGGAGAGTTTTTTAACAGGATTTCATGTTAATTCTTCCCATGTAAGTCTTAAGTCCCCACCTTCCCCAGCCTCCCAGTTTTATCTAGAGGTACAGGAAGGGTCTGCTGTCTGTCAGAAGACAGCCCAAGCAATGGTACCGAAGGTACTAATTACGCTCAAAAGAAAAAAGACTTAAACTCTTCAACGTCACACATGCTTTCTGAATATCCTGAACCACAAGGAAATCACCAGTGGAACCCAACTGATTGATCACAGGTGTCCTCTTCCAAGACACCTGACCCTTCTTACAAGAACGGTTCCTTCCAAAAAGCTCCTTGTTTGCTCTTGTCCTCTCTCTGAATTATACATAAGTTTTTTGAAGCCAAGAAGCAAATACCTCCTGCTGACAGTATCCAGAATATATTTCCAAAAATCTTTGTATTCATATAAGCTATTGATTAACCCCCAGAATTGCAATTTCCCTTCTACTAAGGTCACAAATTTCGGGCATTATTGCAGATATATAAATATATATGTATGTATGTATATATTTACATTTCCTTTAAGTAACTCAACTATTTTACTTATTTCACTCTGACAAACACAAGGACCTAACTGGCAAGTAGGCACTTAATAATTTTTACAACGCCTTTCCAACAGCAGCTTCCATGGGATTATTTACCGTCAAACTAAATCAAGAATAAATGAAAAAACTGAAATATTTATGACATAAGAAAAATCTGGTTCAGACTAGAAACCCCAGACTGGCATTAAATCAAGAAATGTAACAAGATAAATTGTGCCATCATAGTCTTTGTTTGCTGGATGTAACACTATCACTTATTATAATTGTTATGCCACAGCTTGAACCATCGGTCTAGATAGATAGATGGAACACAAAGTATGTTAAATATTATCATAGGGGAAATATTACATTCCCCCCTAAAAATATTGATTGCACATCCGCTTGTCAACAGTGTGTAATTTACACAAAAATGTTTGTTACAGCATCATTTGTTGTTTTTCCATTAGGGAAAACAAGTTGGTAAGAAAGGAATCAAGTCTCAGATGTATTTTGGCTGTGAAGTCTTCCTCTTATTTGCAAGGGAAAGAAACATATATATTCCTGAGACATCCACATGTGAAGTGTGGGACACACAGATGCATGTTTGAGATGAACAGATGGAAACAAAGTGGCTGCAATGAGTTTCAGGGAAAACCGCTGGTTGGCTGCCACACTGCCTGGTGGGGTCGTGCAGCAGCCACTTCCCATTGCAAATGCCACAGCTGATGTTATTGGAAAGAAATGGCACAAAAATACTGCATACAGCAAACATTCCTTTGAGGATATCTGGAACATTGACAACTGCAGTCAAAACATGGGAGATGAGTACATGCATTGACTTGGTGACACTGCACTTAGCACACAGAGTGAAAGCTTTTATAGCACGTGTCCTAAGCTTGCAATTTTATTGCTTTTTTTCCTTGAAAATGTGATCTAGAAGGGTTAAGGTAAAAATTCATTTATTAATAAAGTTGTCTGACATATTTAACACATTAACATAAGTGTCAACATGCTGTCCATTCTTTCAGTGTTGAAGTCAAGGTTTAAAGTATTGCCTTGGCATTAGATTTTGAGATCTAGACTTCTACTGCTTATTTTTGAGTAACAAAACATTCAGCAGATCAAGTCCGTGATGAAGAGGAAAACACACTTCTGGCATCACTGGAGTTTTCATGCAAGCATGCAACATTTCATATTTCTGCCACAACTGTCTGCTGCTTTTGTAAAAGCAAAAAGGAGTCAGTTCAGGTGGCAAACTGACATCTTTCTGAGGTTGTCAGGCAGTGGGAAAGATGAGATTTTGCTCTTAGCTAAATTCAAACAAATTGACATTTTTACCTGTGGCAAAATGTAGCTATGTTTGCAGGAGGAGTAACTTCTTGACCTGGTGAAAGCAGCAGTGTTTAACAACAGGGAGTTGGGGCCAAATTTCACAGTGGTGCTGGCAGAAAAGCTTTGCTCCAGGACTGGTGTGTTGGTGTAAATACCCATAGAAACATGTATGCAAATATACACGCAGGAGGAAAGGTACCAAAATGTGCAGATAAAAGGCTATTTCACAGAGTGCATGCATACTTTTTATTCTGCAGCTCCAGCTTTCCCTCCTACCAGCTTCAACACATCTATATTATCTTTGAATTTGGTCTTACAAACTTTTGTACTCTTCATCTGCCAGGAAATAAGATGAGTCTGTCCCAGCTAGGCTTGCATTCTTGGCACACTGTAGCTCCTGATCTCTATATTGTCTCCAGAGCACCTGATTTGAAGTCATCTAATGTGAATTTTCTCATGAATGCCAATGATATACAGCTACATTTTCTTTTCAAACTTTTTATCCCTGAGGCACTTTCTGCACTCAAACTATTTTCCAGATATCCATAACAGACTGAATAGCAAATACTTGTAACTACCAGAGCAGAAGAGACCAGTTTTACAGGTTCCAGCAAGATTTACCTGTGCTGTTGTAGCGCTTACTACTTATTTAAAATTACTGAACTGTATTTGAAAGGAGAAAAGTACCCTACTGTATTTAACTGAGGTGTTTGATACTATGACTTCCATGTTCCTTTTCTCATAAAAGGACAGGAATTGTCATTTGTTCTTCACTTCTCACTGCTATTGCTTACTTTTCCTAGGGAAACAGAAAACACTGAAGCTTATTTTTAATTCAAATTCAGTACATAAAACCTTTGGGGGCTTCAAATCTTGGATCTTCAAAACATTTTCCTAAATCGTAACAGCTCATTGTATTTCAGGTGACACTGAGATCAATATACCATGTGATGGTATGGAGGTTTTGGTTCCTCATCTCTGCATTAAGGCATCCATCGCAAGAGGAGCAATGGACTGGACTATACACTGGTACCTGTGATAGCTCATCTCAGCTCCCCACATAGATTCAATGGTATTAAAAGAAGCAGATATGATGCCACAACTGGCTTACTGAATAAAGGCATGCTGGTAGTCCTGTGAAGTGTACAGGCAAAAAGGCTTGGGCTGAGCAAGCTGCCAAAATGGATCCACCAGCCCTCCATCAGATGAACCTATTCATCATCCCACAATGAAGGATCCTTCAGAGAATTCACCCCTTCTTCTAACACATGAATACAAGATGCAGCAGGATTTCTTCAACAATTATAAAGCTTTGCATCATGTCTTTGACTACTGTCCAGTGAGGACTGCAGTGGAATCATAAACAACCTGGATGTGCTTGAAACACACACTCCTTTCCCAGAAATGCACTGCTTAGTGACCATGTGCTCTGTGCCACGAGCATCACTGAGGCAATGCCCTGGGAAGATGTCAGTGAGTCCACTTTCACTGGAAGACTGGGTGTATGTGCACTGATGTAATGCAATAGCACAACCATTTGCAAGGACATCCACAACTGCAAGTAACTGTGCCTCTGTAGGAAACAGGCAATGCAGGAATTTCTTGTATTTAACCCAAACATAAAGACTGAAAGATACAAAAAACCTAGTGTGTGGCTGACAAATTGGCATAAAAACGTCTTTCAACAGTAAACTGCTTAAGTGATAAGGAATGTAACCGTTGTAATACAACTACAGCCCTTGTGCTTAGCCAAGTCTTAAGAAAGCACACTAAAGGTGCAGCTATCTCATGTGAGCCATGTTGCTTGAAGCTTATTTACTAGTACTTTGATTTTTTTTTCTTTCAGTTTATACACTGTATGCAATACCAGTAATCATTTTGAAAGCAATGTCTATTGGGCACTATAAAATTTTGCTGCACATTCTCACATTTCAGCATTGCTGGTCATGTTTCCTTGTAACTTACAAGATGTAGATGTATTAGGTTTCTATATATGCACGTGTCCATATGTATATATGTACATGAGTCTGTGTATATATACACAGCACAAATAAAGGTATAATTCCATTCAATCAACTCTACTGTAGTCAGTTTTTTGACATATGAGATTACAGTGCTATTTGTATTCTCTGCAGTGATACGTATGATAAATAAAGACAGAAATATCTCATTGTGGTGTCGTGGGATTAAACCAGCACAGAAATTGGTTTCACTTGAAGAGTGGTGAAGGCTTTTCTATTCATTACCAGCTCTGTCTCCTGTACTGGTCTCTTACTTTGAGACATATTAGTCAGCGTGGGTAATGCAGGCAATATACCTCCCTTCAGGGTATATCTTCACACCTGCAGCCTTTCAAGAACGATGCTGGGCTGTGCCAAGTGCTGGCCTCAGTCCACATGCATCTCCAAATATCTTTCAGGGAAATGATGAAATTAAAATACTCTATCAATTCAGGCTAACACCGCCCAGAACACTAAGTGGCATTCAAATAAACTGCTTAACCCATTACTAGAGGCATGAGTTCTGAATTCATTATAAATAAAATCCCAGTAATTGCATTCCCCCTTTTAAGGCACTCTCCATAATTTCCATTTCCAGTTATCATGCCTGGAGTTGTATATGAACACTCTTAGGCTCAAGTCAGTGGAAGACAATGTATGGTTACAAAGCCAACTTATATTCTGCTCTCCTACAGTCTCTAGCACATGAAAGATTACCTGGAATATCATTGATATGTAAGACTGTCCAAATTGACGATAGCATAAAATATTTAGCACTTAAGTGAGGCAAAAATTGTATGTGTCTCTTAAAATATTCAGTGAACAATTGCTTTCTGTTAGTTAGCCACTTCCCTTTACCCTACATAATGTAAAAAGCAATTGTATCAGTTTAAGTAGTTTAGAAATACAACTCATGAACATTAGTCTTTGTTACTGATATTCCTGGGGGCAGTGAGGATCAGCATCCATTTACAATGGGTAAGCTCCTCATCTTCAGGATCCTGAAATGTGATATCAAGAAACACAAGGTCTGTTACTGCTCCACAGTTGTGCTTCATTTCAATTTCATTTCATTATCTGCTCAGTGTTCTCTGCTCCTAGCAGAAATCATCGCTTCTGATTTCAGGAAAATGTGTTTTTTACAGTGGTTTTGTAGTAGGATGAGCATAGGTGCTTTTGACACTGCCTTGCTAGCCCTGTAACTCTTTTCATAAACTAACAGAAGTGAGGCAAAAGCAGAGTGAAGCAAAGCAGAATAATTATTTATCTTATCTTGCTTGATAGTAAGAAAAATGTCAACCACAAAAGCTTCCTGGGGCAAAATGGATAACCTTAAAGAGAGATTTGCAGCAGATGATAGCAGCATTTAGCAATGTCTGCCATGTTTCCAGCAACTGAAGGAAGGCAAAACTAATTCAACCTTAGAAGTTTCTGTAGGCAATATTTACAGTGGTTTGCCAAAAGATTATGTGCTACTGACTCACCATCTCTTTGCATTTGCAGAAACACAGGTCCTGCAGGCATGCTGGAAGAATTAAACTCGTATACAATTTTCCACTTCACTTCTATGTTTGTGTGAAGTTTAAGTCTTCCACTGCACAATAGGCAGTATATATGAAAACAGAAATAACAAAATGCATGAAATATGTTGCTAGACCTAAGAATATGTTATATTCCTGGTCCAGATGTGTAACTCAGTCACAGCTTATGTCCAGAAGGCATCAAGATGACATGGGAAGCTCAGTCTAAACTTCAGATATTTCTGCAAGCCACAGAAGAGAACAACATCCACATGAATTACAGGTGAGAAGTTACCATCATATAGGTAATTTCCAACAACTAGAAGTTTCAATACCAATCACTCAATACAGTCTATAGTAATTACTGAACAAACACTGAGATAGAAGAGGTCTGATAAGAAAGACTTGAAAGGTTTGGTTGAGGTGTAGGCCAATTTTCAATGCAATACATTATGAAACAAAGCGAGAGATCTGAAAGCGTTAAATTCACCAAACCTGGGAGAATAATTTGTGAACTAATTACCACATTTTTTAACATGGTCACAAACACAAAATGTCTAAATGTTACTCATAAACTAAGAGCAGATATTCTTCACAATGAAAAAGTTTACTATCTACTTAATATTTGTGAGTGAAGGCTCTGAACTCCAAAGAACTGCCTTCCAAATATGATCAGTGTAATAATGATAAAAACCATGATTCTACTCCAATTGAAGTCAATAGAAAAATTCCCATTTCTTCAGCAAAATAGGAGCAAAATTAGAATGTCATCAAAAGATACTATGCAGGTTTCTTCAAGGATAGGGATGTTATTAAATGAACTGCTGATAAACCTTTACAATGCTATCTTGAAGACTTCACCTCTTTCAAGATCTCACACAGTGGCTGTTTCAATATGAGCCAGTATCAGAGGAATGCTTTAATTTGTGCCACTGTGAAGTCCGCTATTCAGAGTTCTCATTTTTATCTTTCGCTTGCCTCATATTTAATATCCCAGATCTTTTTATTAAAATCCATATTAAAGGTATTGTGATATCTTTATGGTGCTCTCCTTTCAAACAAAATAATATCCTTCAGGTAGGAAAGCTCTTCCTCCTGCATTCCTTACACCTCTACACCTCCAACTGGTGGCTATGGAGGGGATGACAGTGGTGAGATGCAGTCACATCACCTCATTTGGTTCCCATTTCTCCAGCTGTGGTCAAACTATTGCTCGACAGAAATACAGCAACAAGCCTCCATCATCCTCAATGACTGACACCCTGCTGGTGCCTTTATCTGGAGCCTGGCACACAGGATTTCCATGCAATGGCTCACAAACCTCCTTTGATCAGCAGGTAGCAGGAATTTACTCCCTGCTCCCTGGGGAAGTCCCCTTTTTGTTTTTTTTTTTTATTTTTACCATTCTTGGTTTCTTGATGTATTGTGTATTTACAGGCATGGGATCTCACTTGCAGTTTATTGCTCTAACATCTGAAATGATCTCTCTTTCTCATTTCATTGTTGCTCACTGTTTGTTATTCCCCACAATTACAGTCAGCCAGAACCAAATGCCAGGCTTCCGAGCCCAACACAGGCACCAGCTTCTCATCATAGCAGCACCACCTGGTTAGCACCTTCTTCTACTTAAAAAAAAATATAAAAATACTGTTACGGACAGTTTATTAAGAAACTATTCATTTTCATATTCTCTATTTTGGAGAAGAAAAGGAAGGAATGACGTGCTTTGCATGCAAAACATGCCAGGCACAAAGTATGAAAGAATGCAGGACACGACATGCTGTGAGTGGTACTGAATGAATATTAAATGCTACACTTGAAATGAGAAGTTTGTTTTGTGGACTCATTGGGGTTCACATGACCAGAGCAATGTGGTTGCACACCGTTCCCAGAGTCTCCCATAAGTCCACTAAAACCTATTTGCAAAGCGAGTGTGCAGTCAGGTAAACACCAGTGGAACTCAGTCCTTTTGGAAGAGAGGGAGAAACGTCCTTTTAAAGCAGGGGCTTGGATACAATCCTTCAGAAGAGGAACAAGGAGACTAGAAGGGGAACAGAGAGTCCACCCATCACTTCTGCCTTGGGCATTCATGGATGAGGGTTTTTATTTGTAAACAAAGCAAAAAGTGAAAGCAAAGCTGATTTTAGACAAGAACATGGAAATCTGCCAGCTTATTAGCAGCTGGTCTTCAGCCTGGCAGAAAGTATTAATGGCACTATGAATGTAAATTATTAACCTTAGATTTCCCTAGAGAGCTGTCGGGAAATACTTTAGATTTTGTAATAGCTGTACGTTGCTGTACAGCAATAAGTAAGGAGACTAGGACTATTTCTTTGCTGACCTAGGAGGGTACAAACTCCCATAGGCTAGATAGATTTAGACCAGCTGGCAATGAGACTATGTTGAATACTAAATAATGTAAATAGGAACCAGGCAGGACTGTAATGCCAGGGTGACTTTAAGACTAGCTTAACCATACACGGCCATTTGCCTAAGATGAAGTCTCTAATCATTTTATTTGCATGCATATGTGCACGTGTGTCAGAAGGGAAAGTTAATTTCTGGGCTTAGTGTTTAACAAGTAAATGATTCAGCATGAAATGACGATCCTTACCATTCCTTCCTCCCTGATGATGTTATTTCTGTTTATCACTATCATTTAGAATCTCTTTGATAAAGAGGAAAAGAAGAAAATAATCAAGGGGGATTCTATGTGAAATTGGACTTAATTCAGCATAACCTATGTATTTTGAGATAGGGAATATACCCAAGTAGAATTAGTAGTGTTATTATATTAGTGTCTAGACAAGGTCTGGAGACAGGAACAAACATCCAAATTATTCACCTGTTCTGCCTGAATAACAGATCTGGATGGTGGAATAGGGTGGAACAGGGAAGAAGGAAGAGAGAAGTCAGATAACACATCAAGGGAGAAAAGTGCTGGACTTTCTAACAGCATCACCATGTCAAGTGCCTTTTCTATAGGAGGCTTTTGGGTGCTACAGTGGAAGAGGGGAGCTCTCAGGATGACTAAACAACAATTAAATCATTGAGCAAGGCATATTTAGCTCATATGACAGTTTGCCATTCAAACTGTTTGTCTCTTACCACACATAACAGCCATGCTTGTCTCTTACCACACATAACAGCCATGCTGGGGTCAGGCCAAACTGAGCCTTTTGGTCGTTTATTAGTAGTCTGAATTTTAGAGGAGTAAGGAGCTCTGCAGCAAGAAGTCCTAAGCCTTATTACTTGCAACTTACAGCAGACTTCTTTTAGATTAGGAAACTGTAGAGAAAATATGATTATGAGCTGTGCTGTTGAATGTATACAAAGAAGGACAAAAGCATAAGGCTACGGGCTTTTTTTTTATTTCAGAGAACCTCCTGATACATTCAAAATAAGTCTAATCTCTTTTTCCTACAACTGAATACACCTTCCTTTTCCCTAGGAATTACGTAGGCACATCTAAGTTCCTTCAAAGTTACTTCAAAGTCAGTTCACACTTCATATACCAATTTCATCACTTCATAACATTGCTTAAAAATTATG